ATATATAACCACTAAATGACAAAAGACCCAGACATGAATATGATAGAAACAACATGGCTACCAATAATATAATATAGAGAGTGCAGCTTCTGTCGCTAGCAGGAACGGATCCAGTCTGTTAATCGTGAGAGACTTCACCCATGGGAAGATAGATTGGGAGAACAGAGAACCACGTGGAGGACCAGTCACATGGAGAGCTAAGCTACTGGACGTGGCAACAAGAAACTTTCAAAGCCAACACCTCCAGGGACTGATAAGAATGAGAGAAGACGAACCAGCAATGCTTGATTAGATATTCACCCTGAATGAGTCGGATATAAGGGAAGTTAGGTTGGAAGTAATCTATATCCTACGTAATCTACTGCTACGAAGTAATTACTCCTAGCTCTACCTTGTAGAGCTGGGTCTACAAGGTAGACCCAGAATCTTGGTCTGGACGGAATCTCACCATGGGTACTGAAAGATTGTGCAGAAGTAGTTTGCTTGCCACTCTCCATGGTGTATAGTAGGTAACTGGAGACCGAAGACTTAACAGAAATATGGAAGACGGTCAATGTAATCCCAATATACATAAAGTGTGACAGGCAAGAGGCACCGAGCTACAGGCCAAAGTTAGAAAAGATTCAGAGGTATGCCACCAAACTAGTCCCAGAACTGAGAGGTATGAGCTACGAGGAAAGGCAAAGGGAGCTAAACCTCACGTCCCTGGAAGACAGAAGAGTAAGGGGGAGACATAACCACCTACAAAATTCTCGGGGAATTGACAGGGTGGACAAAAACAAATTATTTAGCACGGGTGAAATACGAACAAGGGGGGGGGGCGGGGACAGGTGGAAACTTAGTACCCAAATGACCCACAGGGACATTAGAAAGAATTTTGTCAGTGTCAGAGTAGTTAACAAGTGGAATGCATTAAGCAGTGATGTGGTGGAGGCTGACTACATTCATAGTTTCAAATGTAGCTTTCATGGAGCCCAATAGGCTCCAGAATCTGTACACCAGTTGATTGACAGGTGAGAGGCGGAGCCAAAGAACCAAAGCTCAATCAATCCCCGCAAGCACAACTAGGTGAGTACACGTAGTATAGCGTAGCTCTCATCCTGTAACCACACTTAGGTAATTAGGTAATTACACACACCAGAAAGCAGTCCGTAGCAGCTGCCCACCTCCCAGGTACCTATTTAATGCTAGGTTATCAGGCGAATTAAAGTGCCCATTTGTTTCTGCCTCGGCCGGGAATCGAACCCGGGCTATTAGGACTCGGAAGGGGGGGGGGGGCGAACTGTGTGCACTGAGGGGGTGAGGTAGTGTGAAGGGGGGGGGGGTGTGAGGGATTACCCAGAGTAGTGATGAGGCCCACCACCAGTGTCTACTGATAACACCTCTCCCATCACCACTTATTTACTTCACAGTATTTCTACGTACTTCCAGATTCATCCAGAAAACATGTACATTTCTTATGACATTTTATTGAGTTTGTTAATTGTCAAAATGTTTTGAAGGTTAAGGCAAATGTGGTCAGATTCAATTTCTTTCTTTATTATGCGCCAGAAGGAACGAATTTGGCAACCCACTTAACCTATCGAAGCAATGCCCATTAGTACGAAGACTCTTCCAAAATGTTGCGCTTCACTTTCACTAAACTCCGGCAGTAGGCAGGTTACATACAAAATTGTGAAGCATTAGCAGGGCGGGATAAATTTTTAACATTTTAAAATTTTGCCCCGAGGGGTGAGTTTATTGGTCAGCGCCACTCATCCTGTGAGTGGACACACCGCCATAGTGACAGTATTGGGCAGCTCCACTCATCCTGTGAGTGGACACACCGCCATAGTGACAGTATTGGTCAGCTCCACTCATCCTGTGAGTGGACACACCGCCATAGTGACAGTATTGGTCAGCGTCACTCATCCTGTGAGTGGACACACCGCCATAGTGACAGTATTGGGCAGCTCCACTCATCCTGTGAGTGGACACACCGCCATAGTGACAGTATTGGTCAGCGTCACTCATCCTGTGAGTGGACACACCGCCATAGTGGCAGTATTGGTCAGCGTCACTCATCCTGTGAGTGGACACACCGCCATAGTGGCAGTATTGGTCAGCGTCACTCATCCTTTTTTTTTTTTTTTTATCCTGTGAGTGGACACACCACCATAGTGGCAGTATTGGTCAGCGTCACTCATCCTGTGAGTGGACACACCGCCATAGTGGCAGTATTGGTCAGCGTCACTCATCCTGTGAGTGGACACACCGCCATAGTGACAGTATTGGTCAGCGTCACTCATCCTGTGAGTGGACACACTGCCATAGTGGCAGTATTGGTCAGCGTCACTCATCCTGTGAGTGGACACACCGCCATAGTGGCAGTATTGGTCAGCGTCACTCATCCTGTGAGTGGACACACCGCCATAGTGGCAGTATTGGTCAGCGTCACTCATCCTGTGAGTGGACACACCGCCATAGTGGCAGTATTGGTCAGCGTCACTCATCCTGTGAGTGGACACACCGCCATAGCAGCATGTACAACACTCCCCAATAGGAAGAAAACCCGCTGGGTTGGATAAAGATGAGGTTGTGAGGCATATGGTGCCCGCGCAATGAGGCAGGCTGCATGTTGATGTCCACCTGTATGTGTTTGGTGTCAACACCACATGTCCCTAAACAAGTGTATGAGGTGTGATTGTTATGGCTAACTGATGACTTAATATGTGGCGTTGGTGAATAGTTGGAGTGTGGTTGTGGTGGGGCGAGTGGGAGAGGTGGTAGTGGAGCAGTGTGGCACAAGGTAGGGGGCGGGGAGGGTTGCGCGTGCACCACTCTCCCCCCCCCCCCAACATATCAAGTACAGCTTGCTGCCCTACACACTTGTTGCTTCAGCACCCTGCCACCTTGTGACGGGATGGTAGGCCAGCTGCGGCCACACCTACCCTCCTCAACCATCTGGCCTCCACCTCTCTACACCAATCTTGCCTCACCTTCTCAACCGCGTTCACACAACCAACTCCGCCAACTCCGTCTTGGGTTGTGTGCTAGTGGCTGGTGTTGGTGGTTAGTGTTAGTGCCTGGTGTTGGTGGTTAGTGCTGGTGTTGGTTAGTGCTGGTGTTGGTGGTTAGTGCTGGTGTTGGTGGTTAGTGCTGGTGTTGGTGGTTAGTGCTGGTGTTGGTGGTTAGTGCTGGTGTTGGTGGTTAGTGCTGGTGTTGGTGGTTAGTGCTGGTGTTGATGGTTAGTGCTGGTGTTGGTGGTTAGTGCTGGTGTTGGTGGTTAGTGGCTGGTGTTGGTGGTTAGTGTTAGTGGCTGGTGTTGGTGGTTAGTGCTGGTGTTGGTGGTTAGTGCTGGTGTTGGTGGTTAGTGCTGGTGTTGGTGGTTAGTGCTGGTGTTGGTGGTTAGTGCTGGTGTTGGTGGTTAGTGCTGGTGTAGGTGGTTAGTGGCTGGTGTTGGTGGTTAGTGTTAGTGGCTGGTGTTGGTGGTTAGTGCTGGTGTTGGTGGTTAGTGTTAGTGCCTGGTGTTGGTGGTTAGTGCTGGTGTTGGTGGTTAGTGCTGGTGCTGGTGGTTGGTGGTTGGTGCTGGGTTGTTAGTGGCTGGGTTGGTGGTTAGTGCTGGTGTTAGTGCTGGTTGGTTAGTGCTGGTGTTGGTGGTTAGTGCTGGTGTTGGTGGTTAGTGCTGGTGTGGTGGTTAGTGCTGGTGTTGGTGGTTAGTGCTGGTGGTTAGTGCTGGTTGGTGGTTAGTGCTGGTGTTGGTGGTTAGTGTTAGTGCCTGGTGTTGGTGGTTAGTGCTGGTGTTGGTGGTTAGTGCTGGTGTTGGTGGTTAGTGCTGGTGTTGGTGGTTAGTGCTGGTGTTGGTGGTTAGTGCTGGTGTGTTTAGTGTTAGTGCTGGTGTTGGTGGTTAGTGCTGGTGTTGGTGGTTAGTGGTTAGTGGTGTTAGTGTTAGTGCTGGTGTTAGGGTTAGTGTTAGTGCTGGTGTTGGTGGTTAGTGCTGGTGTTGGTGGTTAGTGCTGGTGTTGGTGGTTAGTGCTGGTGTTGGTTAGTGCTGGTGTTGGTGGTTAGTGCTGGTGTTGGTGGTTAGTGCTGGTGTTGGTGGTTAGTGCTGGTGTTGGGTTAGTGCTGGTGTGGTGGTTAGTGGTTGGTGTTAGGCTGGTGTTGGTGGTTGCTGGTGTTAGTGCTGGTGTTGGTGGTTAGTGCTGGTGTTGGTGGTTAGTGTTAGTGCCTGGTGTTGGTGGTTAGTGCTGGTGTTGGTGGTTAGTGCTGGTGTTGGTGGTTAGTGCTGGTGTTGGTGGTTAGTGTTAGTGCTGGTGTTGGTGGTTAGTGGTGGTGTTGGTGGTTAGTGTTAGTGCCTGGTGTTGGTGGTTAGTGCTGGTGTTGGTGGTTAGTGCTGGTGTTGGTTAGTGCTGGTGTTGGTGGTTAGTGTTAGTGGCTGGTGTTGGTGGTTAGTGCTGGTGGCTGGTGTTGGTGGTTAGTGCTGGTGGCTGGTGTTGGTGGTTAGTGTTAGTGCCTGGTGTTGGTGGTTAGTGCTGGTGGTTAGTGTTAGTGCCTGGTGTTGGTGGTTAGTGTTAGTGGCTGGTGTTGGTGGTTAGTGCTGGTGGCTGGTGTTGGTGGTTAGTGCTGGTGGCTGGTGTTGGTGGTTAGTGCTGGTGTTGGTGGTTAGTGGTGGTGTTGGTGGTTAGTGTTAGTGGCTGGTGTTGGTGGTTAGTGGCTGGTGTTGGTGGTTAGTGCTGGTGTTGGTAGTTAGTGTTAGTGCCTGGTGTTGGTGGTTAGTGCTGGTGCCTGGTGTTGGTGGTTAGTGCTGGTGTTGGTGGTTAGTGTTAGTGCCTGGTGTTGGTGGTTAGTGTTAGTGCCTGGTGTTGGTGGTTAGTGGTGGTGCCTGGTGTTGGTGGTTAGTGTTAGTGCCTGGTGTTGGTGGTTAGTGGCTGGTGTTGGTGGTTAGTGTTAGTGGCTGGTGTTGGTGGTTAGTGCTGGTGTTGGTGGTTAGTGCTAGTGGCTAGTGTTGGTGGTTAGTGTTAGTGGTGGTGTTGGTGGTTAGTGCTGGTGGCTGGTGTTGGTGGTTAGTGTTAGTGGCTGGTGTTGGTGGTTAGTACTGGTGTTGGTGGTTAGTGCTAATGGCACTAGCACTAGTGATAAATGAGTATCTCCATCATACTCATTTATCACCATCATATATCACCAGTCACATTAATGTTCACCATGAATGGAGAATGTGCAGAGAGAGAGAACACTGAATACTGTACCTGATTATTGTGACTGCTTAAAAATCCTTGAATTGTATTCCCCTTAAATGCATGCAGAAGAAATACTGTAGATAAAAATCCACATGGTGTGAATATTGGTAGGACTGGTTAAAACTGTGCACACACACATTCTTTTGAGAGTAGGATCATTGGCTGGTATTGGTGGTGTATGTACTAAAGTGTACTAAATAGCAGTGTTGTAATGTAAATTCTATTACTGTACTGTAATTACCTAAGAGATAATTATGAACATAAGAGGGCCCCAGACTTCAAGACTCTACCATTTAAACATGATAGGAATTTCAAACAGATGTATGTACAGCATTTTTAAGTGGCAATAAATATTAAAGGTGAATTTTTGATCGTCTTAGCCCCTTAAATGGCTTGGCTAATTGAACATCCTATATCGTAGTGCCAGGGTATTGTTATCTACAATGTAGATAAAAATAATCTGCACAAGATAATGCATATTTTATGGTCAGTGAATCTTATTTTTGTTCAGGCTTTCATACTCCCAGCTTATTTGATGGCAGAAAATTTATGGATTGTATCTCCTGTATGTGTCTTGTAAAATGACAATTGAACAAAAAGAGTTACAGTATATTACCCAGAACAAGCATTTTAGCCATGGGGATGCATCCAGCCCGTATTATGCGCCAAAGAAGTATGCCCCCTCCAGTCCTGCGACGGTACAAAGTTGGACATGAGGGAGAGGAAGAAGAGGCAGAAAGTGGGTGGACAGTTCGCATGTGGTGTGAGGACGGAGGCATGGTTGGTTGGAGGGACTCAAAAAACGGAGGGTGGTGGTGGTGGGGCAAGAAGGGAGGGACCAGCGAGAATGTGCCACATGCCTCTCAGATGGTTACAGTGATGATCTACGTGGTTCTGTGCCTGCTGCTGGTGCTCCTTGGGGTTTTCCTGTCATGCTTCACCCTCGTCTCAGGTACACACTACACTGCCCACACAAACACCATCTGTCTTCACATGTCTTACCTATCAGCTTACCTTCCATTTATTCTAGTTCATTTTTAAACTTTATTGAACTATAGATTGCAATGTTAAAGTAGCAAATACAATCTAAAGAACAAACTCCCAAAATACACACATACCCAGTCAACACATTCATTCACACCCAGCCCCCACATCCATATGTATCTAACCCCACTCACCCACTCCACACATTGATCCATATACAACCCCCACACACCCAATCAGTCTAACCCCCACCTGCTCATCCTTACTTTTGTGTTTTTCCTTTCCTCAGCCTTTCAGATTTTGTATTTTCTTCCCTAAGCTCACCTGTTCAGATCAGATCTGTAGCAGTATAGTACTGGAACAGTAATAGTTGAGTGGTCTCAGTAGGTGACCTTAGTGTGGACTCTTTAAAGGTATTTTGATATTAGTTTTCCATGTACTGTACTATTCGTTCCCTCCTCTCTCTGCATTTCAGTGTATTTGTTTTCATGTATAATTGAAGGCTGTTTTTAAGGGCAGCGCAGATTTGTCTTAAATTATTTAATAATTTATTAGGTAAGAACTAGAGAATGTATAATAATTTAATACTGTATTTTGGCAAATTTTGAAATTAATTGAATTTACTTAAAAATTTAAATATAGTAAGCTTAAAATGCATACAATGCTGTTACACAGAACAGTGTTATTTCCACTTAACATTAATTTTTTTATGACAATCAGTGGAGGACACCGTTCATAACCTGCGTCCTTTTTTTTTCTTTCCCAGCCACTGTGTTCCTGTCGACTCTCACCCCCAAATTCTATGTTGCACTCACAGGAACCTCCTCGCTCATATCCGGACTTATTTTGGTGAGTATTTGCTCTTTGTCAACATGACTAATTGCAGGTTATTTGGTAGTGTGTTTAAAAGTTTGATATATGCTGTGTTTCTGGGAGGGCTCCGCAGTGCTCTCTGTTACCAGCCACCCGCTGAGCTCCACACTTACCAAGTCATGCCTGGACCTTGTGAACCATCAAAAGTCTTTTGGGGAACGGAGGCCAAAACCTCGTTCCCCCTCACAGAGGTGCAGGGAGCAGGGGATTCTTGATATCCCAGAAAAAAAATAAGTCACCAGAAAGGTTGAGGGAAACACTAGTGGTGTGAACTGCTGCTGCATGCACCACTCATGGTTGCTGTGTTAGTACTGAGGCACCAGGGAGGAGTGTCCGCAAATAATTTTTTCTTGATAGTGTCTATTTACTGGAGGCCTAAGGAAGTTGTATGAAACTCATGTGTTGCATAAAATCTTTAAACTTCCCAAGATGTGATGTACAGTTGAGGAGTTATTTGTTTGCATTACTGTTGTTTCTCATTCTTATCTAGGATATAGACAAAAATACTAGTCACAGCTTCGTGTCATCCTTTGCAGACGATACAAAAATCAGCACGAAAATTTCCTCTGTAGAAGACCCTGAAAAACTGCTAGCAGATATGTATTAATAAAGTCTTTGATTGGACAACCGAGAATAACATGATGTTTAACGGTGACAAGTTCCAGGTACTGTACAGTGGCACCTTGATTAACGAGTTTAATCAGTTCTGGCACCGAGCTCGATATGTGGAAAACTCGTCTTAAGAAACAAATTTCCCCATTTAAAATAAAGGAAATAAATTTAATCCGTTCCACTCCCAAAAACATCCATACTTGTATGACATTTTATAGTGTAAATATAATACTGCACATGTAATTATAAATGTTTTGTTGTACTGTTTTCACGTTTACCTTATGAGGAGTCGTTGCTGGCTTGAGGGAGACGATGGGGAGGTGGGAAGGAGGAGAGGAGTTATGGTATGGAAGGAGAATCCACCTCCGAGTCAGGCGGGCTCTCTCTTCTTGGGAATTTCACCCCACTGCGACCAGGTTGTGGTTCACTATCACTGGCTCTTCTTTTCTCTACTTTTGCAAAGAACGTATCTATTGACAATTGCTTTTGTCTTTGTTTTGGGATGTCCCTAAAAGGAGACAGCAAATTGTCATTAAATATGTTCACACACCGGGTTGTCACTGCTTTATCAGGGTGATGCTTTCCCAAGAATGCAGTCACCTTTTCAAACATTTCCAACACTTCCCTGATCTCACTGGAAGAGGCAGCATCCTCCCTTACCTCCTCATCCCCTTACTAATGGTGCAAATTGTTGATGAGGACCTGCCAATACTCCCTTGTGAGATCAGTCACACAGACACCACGCTCATGCTTTGCTATAATTTCCTTCTTTAAATCCACAATAATTGTGTCTTCCTCTTGACAACACTATCTTTAGCAAGCAGCTTCTTTGGCGACATCATGCGTTACAAATTGTAGTTTATCACTTTCGCTCGGCGACGACTCAGCATTGAGTCCTCCGTAAAACGGGGGCAAGTCCGGCGAGGACTCGGCATTGAGTCCTCCGAGCGGCAACAGTAGCGGCGTTTTCGGGAAGATTTTGTTGCGGTTTTGGATATTATATACATATACACCTGTAGGGAATTTCATTGCAAATACATTGATACCAAAATGAAAGATCTAGGACCAGAATTGAGGTAACAAAGTTGAAAACAGAATACCCATTTTATTGCTCTTTATTAGCACTCACGGGGGTAACGCTGTCACTTTCTCTGTTTGCTGTGGGTAACGCCAGGCATTTGGACTTTATATTTGCATATACTCCTGTAGAGAATTCTATTGCGAACTCAATGATACCAAAATGAAAGACCTAGGACGGGAATTGAGATGTCCAAAGTGAAGAGAGAGCTTTTGCCCGCTCCCGGGTAAGAAAAACTCACTTTCTCACCGGGCTTTTGGGATTTATATTCATTTAGTCCTGTAGAGAATTCTATTGCGAACACATTGATACCAAATTGAAAAACCTAGGACGAGAATTGAGATCACAAAGTTGAAAAAAGTATACACTTTTCAGAATTACCGCGCCCTCTAATGAGAGGCGCTTGGGGTGGCGCAGCGCTCTCTTTCTGGTTACCGCGGCCTGTTTTCATCACATCGGCGGGTGGAGATTGCTGCTGTTTTTGACATTATATGCATATACTTCTATTGGGAATTCTATTGCGAACACATTGATACCAAAATGAAAGACCTAGCACGAGAATTGAGTTGACAAAACTGAAAAGTGTTAACATTTTATCCCTCTTGTGCACTCCCAGGTAACTTTCTCTCACTTCCTCTGTTAGTTGCGGATGGTAAGCCGGGCTTTTAGAGTATATATGCATTTAGTCTTGTAGAGAATTCTATTGCTAACACATTGATACCAAATTGAAAATCTTAAGACGAGAATTGAGCTGACAAAGTTGAAAAAGTATACACTTTTCAGAATTTACCACGCTCTCCCTCACGCTCCCGTGAAACGCCCAAGCCCACCTGGGGTAGTGGGGAGGTCGTGCGCCTGGTGAGCGAAAGTGTTAATGATGTCCTGATATTTAGTGAACATCATCGAGCAAATATAGCTGCAGCCAGGAAAATTATGGGATGGATTATGAGAACGTTCAAATTCAGAGGTCCCACAGCAATGCTAATGCTATTTAAATCACTGGTGTGTTTTGCCATGAGTATTGCTCAGTACTAAGTACCCTTCCCCTTTCAGAGCGGGAGAGATTTCTGAATGAGAGGGAATACAGAAAACATATACGACATACATAGAAACGATAAAACATCTAAATTATTGGGACCATCTCAAAGCTCTCAAAATGTACTGTTTAGAAAGGAGATGAGAAAGGTATCATACAATATATACATGGAAGATACTTGAAGGCCAGGTCCCCAATTTGCACAGTAGAATAACAACATACTGGAGCAAAAGACAAAAGGAAATACAGAATAGAACCAATGAAGAGTAGAGGTGCCATAGGCACAATCAGAGAACACTGTCTGAACATCAGAGGTCCACAGCTGTTCAACACCCTCGCAGCAAGCATTAGAAATATTACTGGAACTTAGGTGGATGTATTCAAGAGGCACTTAGATAAGTTCTTGCAAGAAGTGCCAGACCAAGAAGTGTCATGGGGAGCAGAAGAACTCCCAGAACCCCATCAAGCAGGTACCAACCAGGCTGTAGTGGATATGTGGAGCCTGCAGGCCACTCCAAGCAACAGCCTGTTGGACCAAGTTATCACAAGACAAGCCTGACCTCGGGCTGGTCTTGGGGAGTAAAAGAACTCGCAGAACCCTCTCCAGGTATGCTCCAGGTTAACCCTTGCACTGCTCATTACATCTTGCACTGCTTGTTACAGGCGGACGTCTTTTCTGGCCTCGAATTTCAAGGCAGTGTTGACCAAACCACACACTAAAGGTGAGAGGATGACGACGTTTCGGCCCGTCCTGGACCATTCTCAAGTTGATTGACAATCGACTTGAGAATGGTCCAGCACGGATTGACAATGGTCTGTCGTCCTTTCACTTTCTAGTGTGTGGTTTGGTCAACATATTTCAGCCACGTTATTGTGACTCCTCGTCTTTCCAAGGCAGTGTTTTGCCTTCATTGTAACCTCTGCGATGTTGTGTGTGTGTGTTGGCCAGGTAGGTGTCCTCATCAGTACTGGGGCTGCATGTGCTTAGGGGCATCATTCCCTAGGCACCATGCGAGCACTGTCCTTGCGTGTTAGGGTTCCCTTCCCTGGTGTGTTCGGTAAACCATTTCTGTAGGGGTTTTTGCTGCTCGGCATTTACCCCGCCCTAGGGGCCAACTGGGGTTTTGTGGCCCTTGTATGGCCTTGGGTAGGGAGTGGTATCATGCTGGTTGGGGCGTGAAGGTGTTGTGCAGTCTGCCTACTTACGTGGCAACCGGTTCCTGTTTCCTCTGGGGACGTTACACTTTTGCAAGGGTTTTTCTTTTGTTTTTGTCTTGCCTGGTGGGGGTCTGCCTGGTGTGGCTATAGTTCTACTTATAATATTTTGGTGGGCCTCTGCTAGGCCTCCATAATTGCACACATCTCAGGGGTTTCAGTGTTTTGATCTCTCCCTTGTTAGTTTTGGGCCTTAAACTGGTTAGCAACGCCTTGCCCGGCTTCTCGTAGCAGTCAGCCTGCGGGCCCTGGAAACCCCTGTTGGGGCTCGGTGGACCTACGGATGCGTCTTCAGAGTTCCAGCCCACCTTGTGTGGGTTCGAAGGTTGCTGTGTGCACTTGTCTCAAGGTGATAGTCGCCTCTTTTTGCCTCCTTCATGCTGCCTGTTAGGTCAATGACACCTTTGACCCGGAGTCTTGCGAGTCGTGTTCTCTGCTTGTTCTCCAGTACTATTCTGATGAATTACTGTTAGGTTACAGGCAGCATCTGCATTGCATGCTAGGTTTAGGTTGCAGCAATGCACTAGGTTGGTTTCCAACCCGGATGCCCTGCGGCTACCCTGCTTTGGTTATAGGGATCCGGACCCGTGGGGACACTAAGGCTCGAAATCAACACAAGGTAACCACAAGGTTAGGGTGCGATTATTGTCTATTGATGATTCCTTGGGTACGCAGTTAAATGTTACAAATATGTATATAATAGGGCTATGTGAATATAATGGAGTTTACCTTCATTCATGACAAAAACCCTATTATCATTTCATGGTATGAATGTTGTTATTGCCACGAATATTGTTTGGGGGAATGCGGTCATTGTCATATGATGATTTTAAGTAATTATTGTCTGGGTTTTACATGTTTGATGTAAATATGGATATACAGTAATAGCTATCTGTGGATGTAAATAAAGAAAAAAGTGATAAAACAATTAATGAAACATCTGGGGATAAAACAGGAAGAGTCAGCAAAGTTGATCAACAGGCGTTGACAAGTGCCAGATGCAGTCTTGCAGAGTGCCTCCACGCAGTGAAACTATAAATATTTTGTATATTTATTGCTCTTCAACCAAAGCTTTGTGTTGCTTTGGGGCTTCTGTAGCGACCGGCTGTCTTTGTTGGGTTGCGCTCTGTGGAACTGCCGCCTCCTGGGTTCTTCCCTGTTTTCCTTGTCTGTGGGTAGTTAGCTTCAAGGAGCCGACAGGGCTCCCAACAGAAAATCAGCGTTGAATGTAATGAAACACCAGTTTCTGGGTGAGCCCCGCAGACCCTCTGACACCCTCCCTCTGGTCAGCAGTTTTCATCATTCAAAGAACTAGATGGTGGCAGCCTGACTTACCTAGGTCGGCTTCCCCTTTTCCTGCAGGGAGTGGGGGGGGGGGGAGAAACTAATGAGCTGGGGTTAGTTAAACAAAGTTTTGCTTATTTGTCTTGGATGAAGTTTTGCTTGTTTCAACCAGACAGTGGTCTGTTTTGATTCACCTATCTTTCTGGGCCCTTTCCCTGTCGATGGCAAGATGACATACTTTAAATGTAAAGTGTTCATGGCTGTTGCTCCCTTCGCTTCTCTGAGGGGGGCCAGGTTCTGGCTCATGGTCCCCGGTACGCTTACAAAAGACTCTGCGACTGATGACACTCAAGTAATATGGCACTTGATCAGTAAGATATCTTCAGAAAGCCTCTGGGGTTCATCCAGAAACTGGCATTTCATTACATTTATCACAGTTTTTTTGTCTAACAGTATCGATAACATTGTTAAGTGTCCATAGACCAGTTACTTTATAAATTGACCAAAACTTTTATAATTGGTTTGCAAGTTACATAGTAATATTAATTTGAAGTTGAGGCAGATCATTTATTTCAAGTGGAAATTATTTTCCACTTGAAATCATGAAATTATTTATTTTGCGAAATATATATTTTATTGTTGCTTTGTAGATTTAAAATATTATATAAAGGCTCAAATTTTGAGTACAATCGGTTCTGTCATTTACAGACGCTGCATTCTCCTTTCAGATATTTGAATGGTGGTACTTCAGAAAATATGGCACATCCTTCATTGAGCAAGTTTCCCTTAATCATCTCAGTCCGTGGATTGGTGGTGGGGAGAGCACCACGCCAGAGAGTACTGCCGCCAACTCCAATAACAACAACAATAATAATAACCAGCAGAGCGTACCAGGTACACTACTGTACTTTGATTGTATTATTTAATGTGGCAGTAGAGTCAGTTTGGAGGAAACATTACTTGTGTTAACTGGCAACATTGCAACACAGTATATTGATGTTTAGATTTAGATGTTTGTGCACAAAATATTCATTAATGCTGGTATTGTTTTTATAATGCTTTTGTAATGCTGGTATTTTGTTTTGTAATTTTAGTGTGTTAATTTAAGTCTTGTTTGAATTGCAATAAATTTGATTAAATTTTGAGTGAGAAGATTGAAAAAGTAGCCACCAAGAAGTATACATTTCTACCTCTCAAAGAGTTGAGTGTCTAAAATGTTGTTTACAGGTATAGCATTTTCTGAATTAAGGCATTATTTTTCAGAGTGTAAAGTCTGGCGTAATCCTCTTAATTTATTTCGTGGGTCAGAGTACCAACGTTTAACGTGGTCGACGAAAAAAGAACCATTGACTTATTATGACATGAACTTGTCTGCACAGGACCACCAGACTTTTTTCACCTGTGAAGCAGATGCTGGCAAGCCTGAATATGAGAGTGAGTTGAAATTTTCCATTATTTTAAGTAAAAGGAAAAATTTATAAAAATAAATAAGTATATACAGTACAGTATATTGAACTGAGGGATAAATAAGGAAATTGATGGGTGTTCATGAATTATTGTACCATATAGATATGGTACAATCTATACCTTGATAGATCTATTGATAGGTTAATAGATCTGTTAATCTCTACCTAGCTAGGTAGGTAGGTAGGAATAGATTAATAGAGGTTTTATCATCGACATCATGTTTATTAAGAATGGTAATGTCTTCTCACAGACTTAATAACATAGGATAAAAACCCACACTTGTGTATTTGTGAAACTTATGTAAAGAAATTACACCAAGTCTTTTCCACTCTCCCGAGTGCTTTGTCAAGGTCTGAGTATGTGGTTAGGATGAGACTTGCACCTCAACGTCTAATGAATGAGACACACTCATTCTCTCTCTAATGAATAACACTTCTCTCATTCATTAGACTTTGAGATGCAAGCCTTGTCCTAACCACATACTATCTATTCCTATCTATTCCTACCTATCTAGGCTGTTTTCTGCATATGTGATATTCTGCAAGTAGCCTTTGTATGTGGGAGCAATTTATTCTTAGTATTAACCCATCATATTTTGTGCATTTTCTTAATTTCCTTTGAACTTTTTAACAGTTATGCAAACTGCGTGGCGGGAAAGAAACCCGGAGGTACGCATTAAATCTGCACGTTCTGCCTTAGATCTGAATCCAGAGTGTGCCTCTGCATATATCTTGCTAGCGGAGGAAGAATGCACCTCAATAATTGAAGTGGAGAAGAAACTGAAAGTAGCATTGAAACATGCAGAGACAAATTACAGAAAGTCTCAAGTCACACAACACCAAAGCAGCACCATGGAAGCTCTACATAGTGAGTTCTTTAGTTTTGGTCTGTGTATGAATATAAAGATGTAAAGGTATGAAGCTACTGACGTTTTTAAGATCCGTTGTCTGATTACTAGATTTAACATATGAAGGTACTTTACATATTTTACTTTTCTTAGTAACAATGAGTTTTATTTTTTCCTAGCAATGTAGTACAAGTATTTATTGTATTTAGTGTATATTATTTGCTGCTCCTGCAGAATACAATGGCGAAACATGGTAGGCCCTCCTCTCTCTGTCCCTTCTTTATCATTCCTTCATCTCCCTTTCCTCTTCCATCTCTTCTCCTTTCCTTCCCTACATGCCCCGGTTCACCCACGGATATGGCGATGGCAATTTATTACTGGTTCAAATTACTGTATCCAGTCACATGTTTTCTCATGGCTCTTGGCTGAGGCATATAGGCCAGATACCCAGCTTTCCTGAGAAGATCCCATCTCTTGGAGTTTAAGACTTCCTCATTGGCTGAAAGTGCCAGGGCCTATGCCTTGTTTAAATTAATTGAATATAGTCCTAAGACTATATTACTATGTTAGGACCTAATATAAGCCTACCCTTCCTTTTATCTTTGATTTCTTTCTCTTGTTTTCTCTTATGATCCCTTTTTTTTCCTATTATTACATCCTTTATTACACCTTCCGTACCTTTTGTCTTGCTCTTATCTTCCTCCAAGATTCCTATCTCCACACCTCTTTCTCTCTCTCTCTCTCTCTTGCCTACTTAATGCCCTTTCCTCCCTCGTCTCATCACAATTGACTTGATAATGGTCCAGGATGGATCGAAACGTCGTCGTCTCTTTAATTTCTAGTGAGTGGTCTGGTCAACATTGTTCAGCCACGTTTTTGTGACTCATCACCTGCATTATTAGTGACATATTTAGAATAGTGTGCATGTTGCTATTTTGTGCAACAGACTGCGCTGTTTTCAAAAACGTATGTTTTTACCTGTCACAGGTGTGATATCTATATAGTAGGCAAATATAAAGGCGCGCCTATTCGAATGCAACGTTGTGTCAAAATTTCAAAGCAATCAGTGAAGAACTTTCGGAGATTACAGCGTGTATTGCTCTTACGTTGAACAGATGGCGGTAATTTTCAAACAAAGCATGTTTTTTTCCTGTCACAGGCGAGGCATGTAAATGGAAGATATGTGAAAAGACATGCCTACTCGAATGCAACGTTGTGTCAAAATTTCAAAGCAATCGGTAAAGAGGTTTCGAAGATTTCCCTCACATGTAAAACACATGTAAAACACAGTTTTTCAGAAAAAAACATGCTTTTTTTTTGTCACAGACGTGACATCAATATCGTATGTATATATAAACCCGCTCAGATGCGAATGGTACATTGTGTGAAAATTTCAAAGCAATCGGTGAAGAACTTTCAGAGATTAGCGATTTTGAACAATATTTATACCCAGCTTGTGGGTATACAATATTTTTTGTTGTTTCATTGTCTGTGGAGATATAGAGATTGTATGGTTTACCGACTCTAGAACACGCAAAATATAATTGTCCATGGGAGAAACAATCCGTGTCTAGATATAAACTGCATAATTCTATAGATTGGCCCTGAGCTTTGTTGATGGTGATTGCAAATGCCAATCAAATTGGAAATTACAATCTCTTAAACTGAAATGGCATATCTGTTGGAATCATAGTAATGTGAGGAATGAGGACATCTTCACCTTGAAAGGTCCTGTCAAGATTGTTGCTTCTACGACATCGCTGATTAATTTTTTTACTGTGAGCCGCGTGGCATTGCAAAGTTTTGGCGGGATGATATTTCGCAACATGATAATTGGCACGCCGATTTCCAATTGTCGTATGTGTGATGGTATCCTTGGCAGATCGAGTGAATTAAAAATTCTGTTTGATAATTAACCTCTTCACCTGCTTCCTCAACAGTGTCGACGGACTTGTATGTGCCTGACTCGCTTTGAATGTTAGACTGAATAATATTGTTAAGTTCGTGTGCTGGATGCTTTGGAAATGTTGCACGTAAGAGTTTCAATGAATTGCATGTTCAGTGGCAATTTCAAAGCCGAGGTAGCAGTTCTTCCACCTGGTAGCAATGTTGCAGCTATTCCGGATGATGCAAGAGCTAAGACTATGCCATTTTGGTATCGAAATGCTGCCAGAATCACTCTAATTAGGAAGGATTTACCAGTTCTTCCTGGCGCATCTAAGAAGATTTGTCCAAGCCCGTTATTGACAGTTTGAACTACTGTATTTGATTGTAAATGCCTCTTCGCTCAAGCGTTAGACTAGGAATATTTGATTGCACATACGACATCAGATAACCTGTGTTGTAACTTTGTTCACGACGCAATTCTACATCAAACGAAGCAGCAGCAGATAGATTCGGTGATGGCATTTCCAATTGATTGAGGACTTTGTTCAAGATTTCTAAGAACAAATCTTCAGTCATTATCAACACTTCGTTGTATATTTCTGTTGTGAAATCCATGTTCATATTTGAGTTTTCTTTGCGTATTTGATGGACAATATCTTCATTATGTGTGATTTATATTTCTCCCATAACTCTGTTGGAGATGAAGGAGAGCAGGTGGTCAATATGATTGTAAACAATGCACGAGTTTCATTTGGATGTGACGTGTTAGACGCGTCATTAATGCATACATCCCAGTGTCGGTCGTTCTCCAATTAATTCAGAGCTTGACATGCACTATGTAAAGTGGCATGTGTAACGCCATTGACAAATCTCAATTGCTGGAAGACGTTGATCCAGGTACATTTACCAACAGCATGCGATGAAAGAAGCATTCATCTTGATTGGGATGCACGGTGGATGTCTACCTATCGTATTTTATTTCAATATGCCAGGTTGTGCGTCGACTCGCTCTCCTCGTTTGCGTCGTTCAAATGATTTTCTACTGGCATTCCACATGTAATACATAGGCACTTCCGAATACAGCAGTGTTTTTGCAAACGCATCATTTGACATAATGTGAAGAAAGCAGTTAACGTTGTAGCCGGTGGATTCATAGCTGTTGCATATTTGCAGCTGTGAAATGAACATTTTTTTCATTTTCTTGTTTTCAAAACAAAACCAAAAAATACTAACAAAATATTTTAATTCAAACGTAGATAAATATACACAGCTCAATTTTACCACCAATTGCACTGAAAAATAAGAAGAACAGGTAAAGCACGAAATGAAAAAATGAAAAAAGAAACAAATAAACTATACTCACGAAATGAGCACTATGGTAAACAACGCAGCTCAATTCCAACGCAATGTCACACAAAATAATTAAATCCAAATAATATAAATAAAAATCTATAAAAAAATCAATTTATCAATGCAATCAGAAACATTGAAATGAAATTGTAACGTATTTTGAAAAGTGTGTGTTGCTCTTGGGTGCAACAGATGGCTCTGTTTTTCCCAAAAAAGCATGTTTTTACCTGTCACAGGTGTAGCATCTAAATAGTTGGTATATAAAAACATGCACGTATTCGAATGGAACGATGTGTCAAAATTTCAAAGTGATTGGAGAAGAACTTTCGGAGATTACAGCATGTGTTGCTCTTACGTCCTACAGATGGTGCTGTTTCTCAAAAAAATAATGCTTTTTCCTGTCATAGGTGAGGCATGTATATAGTAGGTATATAAAAACACTCGTCTGTACAAATGCAACATTGTGTCAAAATTTCAAAGCAATTGGTAAAGTGGTTTCGAAGATTTCCCTCACATGAAAAACACAGTATTTTAAAAAAAACATGTTTTTACCCGTCACAGACGTGACATCTATATAAAATGTATGTAAAAACCCGCTCGGATGCAAATGGAACATTGTGTGAAAATTTCAAAGCAATCGATGAAGAACTTTCGAAGATTAGCGATTTCGAACAAACGAACATTTTCATTTATATTTATTTATATATATATATGTATATTATTTTATATATATATATATATATATATATATATATATATATATATATATATATACATATATATATATATATATATATATATACACATATATATATATATATATATATATATATATATATATATATATATATATATATATATATATATATATATATATATATATATATATATATATATATATATATATATATATATATATATATATATATATGTCGTACCTAGTAGCCAGAACTCGCTTCTCAGCCTACTATGCGAGGCCCGATTTGCCTAATAAGCCAAGTTTTACTGAATTAATATATTTTCTCTAATTTTTTTCTTATGAAATGATAAAGCTACCCATTTCATTATGTATGAGGTCAATTTTTTTTATTGGAGTTAAAATTAACATAGATATATGACCGAACCTAACCAACCCTACCTAACCTAACCTAACCTATCTTTATAGGTTAGGTTAGGTTAGGTAGCCGAAAACGTTAGGTTAGGTTAGGTTAGGTAGGTTAGGTTGTCGAAAAAACATTAATTCATGAAAACTAGGCTTATTAGGCAAATCGGGCCATGCATAGTAGGCTGAGAAGTGAGTTCTGGCTACTAGGTACGACATATATATATATATATATATATATATATATATATATATATATATATATATATATGCGAACAAGCCTGAATGGTCCCCAGGACAATATGCAACTGAAAACTCACACCCCAGAAGTGACTCGAACCCATACTCCCAGAAGCAACACAACTGGTATGTACAAGACGCCTTAATCCACTTGACCATCACGACCGGACATAATGAGGTGATAGCCGAGGCTAATTGAACCACCCCACCGCCGGCACTCGGATAGTAATCTTGGGCATAGAATGAGGTGATTTGGTAAAATGCTATGCCCAAGATTACTATCCGAGTGCCGGCGGTGGGGTGGTTCAAATAGCCTCGGCTATCACCTCATTATGTCCGGTCGTGATGGTCAAGTGGATTAAGGCGTCTTGTACATACCAGTTGCGTTGCTTCTGGGAGTATGGGTTCGAGTCACTTCTGGGGTGTGAGTTTTCAGTTAGA